TGATTGTGGAAATGTTGCAACTGTCATAAGTACGAGTCAGTTGCCAAATGCCTGAATTTTGCTCACGTGACTGTGGAGATGTTGCAATGGTTGTAAGTATGAAAAAGGGTGTTAAGTCACTCCCCCCCCCAGCTGTTGTAACTTTGATCGGTCACTAAACGATCCGTTGTAAGTCGAGGACCACTCATAGAGAACAATGTGTGGGTTTCTTTTAGTAAATTGCTACGGTTTAGGGGTCTGGGAATATATCAACATTGGCTGATAGTTTTTCCCTGTGTAAACTAATCTAATCTTTGGAGACGAGGCCAAGTTGGCAGGTCGGATTGCAAACCCTTCCAAAGTTGAGCTATGTGTTGTGGCGTGGATTTGACCAACGTGTAGCTTTATCATCCCCGCCCCAGGTGCCCTGGCCTACCTTTGCCCAGGGAATGTTGATTGAAGGAAAAACCCTCACACCATCCATGGGCACAACCTGGTTATCAAAAGGCTCTGAGCACAATTTGGTGCTGGAAGTGAAACACAGTTCTGGTTTTCAGGGTCCAGAGATTCTCAGTCACGTAGGTCGTGGTTGTCCCAAAGGTGCTTTTTCAGGAGGCAGCTGGACTTTCTGGTTTTCCTTTGAAGATGTGTCACTTCTCATCCAAGGAGCTTCTTCAGCTCTGACTGGATGGTGGTGGGGAATAATGGAAGGATTCCTATTCCTTGCAGACAGCTGGTCGTTTGCGTCCTTTCAGAGAGCCGCTGAGGCCACTTGGAGGTTTGTCCCTGTCCTCGGGGTCACCTGAGTAGTGCTAATGTTTTCCGTAGCCTGCAAATTTCCCCCCTGGAAATCCCTTCCTGTTCCCACACCATTCAAAGGTTGTTCACCCCAAATTGTATAGCTAAGAGCCTGTAGAGATTCTCAGTCACCCAGAAACACCTTCAAAGAAAAAAACAAGAAAAATCCAGTGGAAAAAGCGCCTTTGGGCTGACCATGACCTGGAGGACTTGGAGTTAGGCCATTTGAGATGAACACCCTTCCAGTGGTCTGGGAGTACGAATGGATTGCCCGAAAAAGTGCAGGCCACATACAGGAACCATTTGCCCCACTCAGGTGACCCCGAGGACACAAGACAAACCTCCAAGTGGCCTCAAGGACCCTCTAAAACCAGGGTCCTCAAACTGGGCAAGTTTTAAGACTTGTGGACTTCAACTCCCAGAATTCCTGAGTGAACCTGACTGGAGGAGGAATTCTGGGAGTTGAAATCCACAAGTCTCAAAACTGTGAAGTTTGAGGACCCTCTGCTCTAAAAGGATGGCAGTGACTAGCTGCCTGCAAGGAAAATAAATCCTTCCATTCCCCACCATCATCCAGTCAGAACTGAAGAAGCTTCTGGGATGAGAAGCAAAACATCTTCAAAAGGAAAAAACAAGAAACTCCAGTTAGCCTCCTGAAAAAAAAATAAAAAGCACGTTTGGGACGTCTGGTTTTTTTTTTTTTAAAAAAGGAAGCATATGACCATTTGTTTAAGCAAGTTGTGTAAGGCGTATCACATCTTCCCAAAGCAACTATGAGATCTAGTAACCTGATGTTTGCCTTTGTCTTCCTCCCTTTCAGAAAGGCCAGCGCTATGAAGCGGTGAAGTGGATGATGGTTTTTGCCATTGGAGTTTGCACGGGGATGGTAAGCCTCCGGCGTTCGGCCCTTCTTACCTTTGCCTCACTGAGCAGTGTATAATCTGCAGTTGATAACAAGCAAACTGTAAGACGGTGGACAAGGTAGAGGTATTCCTCGACTTACGACCACAATTGAGCCCCCCAAAAGCGTTGTGGTTCGCCGGCAGCAGGTGCGGGCGGCTGAGGTCTCGGAGAGCGAGGACTCGGATGAGGGGCCTGCGTGGGATGCAGGGGTGGGGCCAGGACCATCAGGGAGTGGAGATGGTGGAGGCTGGCAGCAGTGAGGAAGAGGTCCCCGAGGAGCCTGTGCTCAGTGCGCGTGCGCTCAGGGCTGCTCGAAGGAAAGGGCAGCTGCAGGAGCACGGGCGACTCGGGAGTAAGGCTGCAAGGTAATGGCCCCTCCCTCAAGAGATAAAAGCCAGCTGAGAAACCGGAGTTCTTTGCAGGAAGCAAAGAAGTTTTATACTCGAGCCTGGTGGATGTTAGCATATCTGAGTTGGTGTTTGGAGACTCTTTGATTTACTGTTTAGTAGCTTTATCTGGTGTTCTTGGCAGCCTTGCAAAAACTTGGCTCTTCCTTATCAGAGCTAATTAGTTGGAAGCAGCCTTTGATCTGTGAAGAAACAGGATTCGTAAATGAAACCTTAAAAGGTGGTGCTGGCATCTTTGTCTTGTGTTTGCTCTCTGGGAACCAGGTTTGGGTCAGAACATAAAGTGAGTTTTGTCCCATTTTACGACTTTTCTCACATTTCTTCAGCCAATCACTGCCGTTCTTAAATGAGTCACATGGTCATGAAGTGAATCTTGGTTACCCCCATTGACATTGCTTGTAAGCAGGTCACCAAAGGTGATCACATGATTCCGGGACACTGTGACCGTCATAAACGTGAGCCAGTTGTTCATTCAAATATACATGACATGACCATGGAGATGCTGCAACGGTCGTAATTGTGAAAAATGGTCCTAAGCCACTTGTTTCAATGCTGTTGTAACAATAGAAATAGCCCTTAGGCTTACGTGCTGCTTTGCAGCCCTCTCTTAAGTGGTTTGCAGAGTCAGCCTCTTTCCCCCAACAATTTTGGGTCCTCATTTGACCCACCTCGGAAGGATGGAAGGCTGAGTCCACCTGGAGCCAGTCGGTCAGGATCGAACTCCTAGCAGTGGGCAGAATTAGCCTGCAGTACTTCAGGGCTCGGTACTCTCTCCGCTCCTGTTCAACATTTATATGAAGCCGCTGGCTGAGACTGTCCGTCACCATGGACTGAAGTATCACCAATATGCTGATGATACTCGGCTGTGTGTCTCGGCCCGTGGTGAGTTAAGTGCTGCTGTGTCCTCCCCCTCGCAGTGCCTGGAGGCAATTGGGGGTTCGATGGGGAGGAAGGGTTGAAACTAAACCCTTGCAAGACCGAACGGCTTTGGGTTTGGGGTTCGTTGGCTCAGGGAGAATTACCACCTTTAGTCTTGGATGGGGTGGCACTACCCCAAACAGACCCTGTGTGTAACTTAGAGGTTTTCCGGGACTCACGACTCCTGTTCGAAGAGCAGGTGGCGGTCGTGGCCAGGAGGGCCTTTGCGCAACTGCGAGTTGCGCACCAGTTACGCCCTTTCCCGGATCAGAGGTTCCCGTCTTGATTATTGCAAGGCGCTCTACGTGGGGCTGCCCTTGAAAAGCATCCGGAACCATGCAGCAGCCCGCATGGTTTTATGCAGAACCCGGCAATCATATGTAGCACCTCTCCTGCAGGAGCTGCACTGGCTGCCGATTTGCTTCCAGGTGCAATTCAAGGTGCTGGTGGTCACCTTTAAAGCCCTTCGTGGCTTGTGCTCCTGGTGATCTGAGGAAACCTCTCTTGTCAATCACAGCCACCCGACCCATTAGAGCGAGGAGGCAGGGGATGTTGTGAGTCCCACCTCTGAGGGAGATACACCTGGTGGGACCCAGAAGCAGGTTCTTCTCTGTGGTGGCTCCCTCCCTCTGGAACGTCATCCCCCCCCCTCCCGCCCCCCCAAGAGATTAGAATGGCCTCCTCATTAATACTCTTCCGAAAGGCACTGAGGAAGACCTGGTTTTGCCAGCCGGCCTGGGGAGCCCAGGGAGGAATGGAGCCCGTCGGGTAGCTAGTGTGATCTGTCCTCAGGGAGGGGGAGGGGAGTTGGTTTTTGATTTTCTGTTGTTTTTGCTTTTCCCAAATTTTGTTCTATTGTACTTTACTAATTTATTTGATTTTTTTTGTTAGTTTTTATTGTTTTTATTTTTATTGTTTGTTTTAAATATGGTTTTACATTGTGCAAGCCGCCTCGAGTTGCCATGGGCGAATAGGCGGCAATATAAAATAAATAAATAAATACTTCATTTTAACTACTAGGAGGGAGGGAGAGAAGGAAGGAAGGAAGGAAGGAAGGAAGGAAGGAAGGAAGGAAGGAAGGAAGATAGCAATAGCACTTAGACTTTTACACCGCATCACAGTTGCTTTTACAGCCCTTTCTAAGCTGTTTAGAATCAGCCTCTTGACCCAAACAATCTGGGTCCTCCTTTTACCCATCTCGGAAGGACGGGAGGCTGAGTCAACCTTGAGCCAGTTAGAATTGAACTGGTGGCAATGGCCAGAGTTTGCCTGCAATACCATATTCTAACCACAGGGGAGGGAGGGAGGGAGGGAGGGAAGGAAGGAAAATAGCGATTGCGCTTATATACCGCTTCATGGTTTGGTGGTTCGAATCCCTAGCGCTGCATAACGAGTGGGCTCCCGTTATTTGTCCCAGCTTCTGCCAACCTAGCAGTTCAAAAGCATGTAAAAATGCAAGTAGAAAAATAGGGACCCCTTTGGTGGGAAGAGAACAGCGCTACGTGCACCTTCGGTGTTTAGTCCTGCTGGCCACAGGACCACGGAGACGTCTTCGGACAGCGCTGGCTTTTCTTCGCCTTTGTGACGGAGAGGAGCAGGGAAGGAAGGAAGGAAGGGCAATAGACTTATATACCGCTTCACAGTGCTTTTAAATCCCTCTCTAAGCGGTTTACAGAGTCAGCCTCTTGTCCCCAACAATCTGGGTCCTCATTTTACCCACCTCAGAAGGATGGAAGGCCAAGTCATCCTGGAGCCAGTTGGTCAGGATCGAATTGCTGGCAGTGGGCAGAGTCAGCCTGAAATACTGTATTCTAACCACTGACCCACCACGGCTCTTATTATTAGCAATAATAGCACTTACTTTTGAGGCCATCAGCCATTGGAACAGCAATAGTCTGAGTCAACCTTGAGGCTGGTGAGTTTTGAACTGCCAAATTGCAGGCAGCCATCAGGCAGCAGAAGTAGACCTGGAGTACTGCTTTATAACTTTGAATAGTCACTAAATGAACTGTTGTAAGTCTAGGATTACCCATGCCATTGATTTTTTTTTAATTGCCTTATTCCTTCCCTCTGCAGGTGGGCCTTTTTGTAGACTTTTTCGTCCACCTCTTCACCAGAATCAAATTCCACGTGGTGCAGAACTGTATCTTTTCTACTTTGGATGGGGGTGGGTGGGAAACGCCAATCGCCCCATTGGAGGAATCCTGCTGGCCTTGGGCAGGGCCCATTGTTTGGGGCGAAGCAGTTTCCTTCCTCTTGGGCCGGGTACATTTTCATGAACGTCGCTTGGTGCTTCTCCTTCCTTTCCTTGACTCCGTCTCTGTTAGCGGTGGAGGACTGCAGCGAGAAAGGTTGCCTAGCCATCTCTCTGCTCGAGCTGCTGGGCTTCAACCTCACCTTCATCTTCCTGGCCAGCCTCTTTGTCTTAATCCAGGTAAGGCTTCCCTTCCGGTTCGCAGGGAATAGATTTACAATTGCCAATACAAGGACTATCATACGTACGAGAAGAATACATACGTGATGACCTGGGTTGTGGCACAAAGACAACTCAGTCAGGTAATAATTGGGGGTCCCTTTATTAGCTCCAGCTTCGCCCCTAAGGTCCCGGTTACCTTCCGGTTTGGAGAAAAACTCTCCCAGGAACCTGCAACGGTCTTTGGCTGAAGAAACCCCAGTGCAAAACATTGTAAACAGAAAAGTTTAAACTATAAATCCAACCAAGCAAGATAAGGCAACAAATCCAGCAGGGCACGATAAGAAGGTCCAGAAGTGAAGTAACGCAGCAGTAAATCAAACCAGTTGGGAGGATGCCAGGAACTCTTAATAACCAAGATAACCGCAACCAAGATAAATTCAATATTTGTTTCCAACAAATGCCCCTCGCAAACTGCCTCTCCTTTAAACTCCCTAGGTGTGGCTTGTGAAGGGAATCAGGGCCCTTTCCTCCCTCATAAGCCATGCCACCCACGTTGCTCTCTTCTCTGTTCCTCCCTGCATGCCCTAGGATAAAGAGGAGGTGGGCCTTGGTCTTCCTCTGAACCCCCTCTCCCTTGTTCTACCTCTCTCCCCTTCTCTGCCGAGCCGGACTGTGCCCTTCCCCAGTTTCCTCCACAGCCACCAGAGCCACACTCCCAATCCCTGTCAGCTGTTCGTCTTCCTCCTCAGAGTCAGACTCCTATGGGGGAATGACAAGATGGCACTTACGAGAGTTGAAATTTCAGTAGAGTCATCAACTTTTAAAAAAATTAGTTTATAATGTAAAATACAAAAGAAAATAGTAGGAAAGATAGGGGATGGGGAAAGTGAAGGAGAAAATGTAGGGAAAAAGGGAAGAAAGAAAGAAAAGATGTTGATTTCCCTTTGGTGCAGTTGTGTAAGATAATATCCAAGCTCAGCTTTTTACTTTTACATAGTAATATAAAGTGGTCATTTTTATAACAACAAACCTGTCTAATCAAGTCTGGAGCAGTACAAGAATGCCCTGCCTAAAACGCACAATAAAAATTTCAATTTTTTGATCACAAAGCCCAGAAGCAGTTTCCAAGTTGAAGCAAAAGTTATTGTTGCTTTTTTCCTTCAATCAAAGCCCTCGGTTTAGCCATCTCTGCCAACTCATCAGCTTTTGCAGCCATTCATCCAAAGTGTCCTTCCGTTTTGGGGCGTGAAGTAATCTTGCTGCCCTCAACATGTAGAGCAACGAAGTTCCAGCTTTTTTTCTTCCCAAGTCTTTTCCCATTAAACCCAAAAGGTAGATTCCTCGACCTACGACGACAGTTGAGCCCAGCATTTCCATCGCTAAGCAAGTCAGTGACTTAAGTCTCTCACTGTATTTATGGTATTGTATTCGTATCATTATAAATTATATAATACCTTTAAATAGTGTAAGCCGCCCAGAATTACCATCTGGCATGATGGGCGGCTAATAAATTTTACAAATAAATGTGAGTTTTGCCCCTTTTTATGACCTTTCTGGCCACATTGGTTAAGTGAATCTTTGCAGTTGTCAGGCTAGAGACGTGGTTGTTACTAACGATGGATGGAAAGTAATAAAGGAGAGAAGCGACCTGGAGTTAAGGAGAAACTTCCTGACAGTTAGAGCAATTAACCAGTGGAACTGCTTGCTTCCAGAAGTTGTGAATGCTCAAACACTGGAAGTTTTTAGGAAGAGACTGGACAACCATTTGTCTGAAATGGGATAGGGCAGTGATGGTGGACCATTTTGTTGTGGTGTGCCCCTGCGCATGCGTGTGCAACCCCCTCCCTTACCTGCACTGCACATGCACGCGCCTCCCGGCTGATCTTTTCGGCCCGTTTGAGGCCGTTTTCACCCTCCCGGGGGCTCGAGGGAAGCCTCTACAGCCTTTGGAGACAAAAAAACGGGCCCATTTTGGCACTTCCGGTATTTCCGGAAGGCCCGTTTTTCGGCCTCCCGAGGCTGCAGAGGCTTCCCTCGAGCCTCTGGGAGGGTGAAAACGGCCTCAAACGGGCCGAAAAAATCAGCTGGGAGACACACGCATGCACAGCGCAGGTAAGTTTGGCTAGGGCTCGCGTGCCTGCACAAATGGCTCTGCATGCCACCTGTGGCACGCGTGCCATAGATTCACCATCACAGGTATAGGGTCTCCTGTTCGAGCAGGGGGCTGGACTAGAAGACCTCCAAGGTCCCTTCCAGCTCTATTCTGAATGTGCTTTAAAAAGATTTGAATCTGGCTTCCCCAGCGACTTCGCTTGTCAGAAGGTTGCAAAACGTGATCCCAGCAGCACCACCGTCATAAAAATGAGCTAGTTGCCAAACGTCTGAATTTGGATTACTCGGCCCATGGGGATGCTGCAACGGTCGTAACTGTGGGGGAAAAAAGCAAGTCCTAAGTCACTTGTTTCAGTGTTGTTGCAACTTCGAACGGTCACGTCGTAAATCAAGGACCACCTGTACTGAAGAATTAGGCAGGTAAACGGGAGCTTTCTTGTTGTTTCCTTACTGCCATTGTTTCCTAGTTTGCTCTCAACCAGGTTAAACAGCCTCCTTCATTCCCAGCACTGCGGACTAATTGGGGTCTAGTTTTGTCCCGGGAGCCCTTGCCTCTCCAGAGTCCATCACAGCCTCCCGTGTTGTGGCTGTCAGGGCTCCAACAGGCACCCCCATTCAAATCATAGGTCTCTAGCCACATCTCTCAGGGTAAACAAGATTGATTTATTAGGAGTTAACATGTCAGTGTTTCCTGGTTGCAGCCGACTCTGATACATCCTTCATTTCACCCTTGACCCTGGTCTTCCCCCCTCCCCCTCCCCCAGATGTATATTCTCCAGTGGGACACATCCATAGCCAAGATTCATCATGTCCTGCCCCTGGTGGAGACTGACTCTGAGGGAGAGGAGGAAGAGCCGGCAGGGAGTGGAAGTGGGGCTCCGGAGGTTGTGGAGGAGGCTGGGGAAGGGCAGAGGCCGGCTGAGCAGTCAGAGGAGGACCCAGGCCCATCCCCTCTCAATCCTAGGGCACGCAGGGAGGAGAGGATAAGGGAGAGATGTGGTCTATTCTGGAGGAGAGGGCCTCGATCCCCTTCATGGGCTGCAGCTGTGACAACTGAATAAGAGTATGGGCCTGCATACTGACGAACGCTGGAAACAAAGCATGGAAATATCTCTAGTTATAGTTCCTCTCTGAGTTTGGCGTCCTTCCCAGTGTGTGTTAATCTGTGGACGTCCTCCAGCCCTTATCTTGCCTGGTTTGTGTTGCTTTTCCTTCTTCGTGTAACTGTGTGGGAGTTTTTTGTCTTCCGTCAAGAATATTCAGAGCTTGGAAGCAAAGTGAAGGAATAAAAGGGGCTTCCCCTGTTTTCTGTGACTGTGTTTGTTTTGTATCCCACCCTGGGTCATCACACATCAATTATGCTCTCCAGTAACAATCTTGCGTGCCAACAGCTTCGGCTGCCTAGCAATTATCTGAAGCATTTAAGGAATGCACTCTTTTCCCCTACTCCCTTTCTGCTGGCAACTAAAAAAAAAACCAAGTGTTTTTTTAGTTGACAGTGGCTTCCTTTCCAGCCAGTAGCTGCCGGATCTGGGATTCCAGAGATCAAGTGTTACTTGAACGGAGTCAAGGTCCCCGGGATCGTGCGTCTTCGGACTCTGATCTGCAAAGCTCTGGGGGTGCTTTGCAGCGTGGCTGGAGGTAACCCCAAAATCGGTCCTCGGTCTTTCTGGCATTGGGAAAGTCGCTGGTTTTCTCCCGTTAACCGGCCGTATCTTTTCTCTCCCAGGTCTTTTCGTAGGGAAGGAAGGCCCCATGATCCACAGCGGCGCCATCGTCGGGGCCGGCCTACCTCAGGTGAGCGCGAGCACAAGGCTCATCCCAATGGGGCAGAAATGCTTTTTTTTTTTTTCCTGAAAATGCTTCTCCGGATCTGTGCTTGGTGTGTTCCAATGCAGATAAAAAAAGCTGAGTTTTAGTTACACTTTTCAGAAGGTTTCAGGAGGTATTAATCCCACTCTATAAAGCCTTGGTAAGACCACACCTAGAGTACTGCATCCAGTTTTGGTCACCCCCCACTAAAAAAGATGTTGAGGCTCTAGAAAAAGTACAGAGAAGAGCAACCAGGATGATTAGGGGACTGGAGGCTCAAACACACGAAGAACGGTTGTAGGAATTGGGCCTGGCTAGTCTAGGGAAGAGAAGGACCAGGGGAAACAGAAGAGCAGCCTTCCAATATTTGAGGCGCTGCCCCAGAGAGGAGGAGGGGGTCAAGCTATTTTCTAAAGCACCTGAAGACCAGACAAGGAATAATGG